TGTCCGCAATGGCAGCCCCGGGCTGTGGGGGTTCGGCAGCCGGTATGTAAGTCTTCAAGCAACAGGGATTTTTTCTGAACTGTTGATTTAAAACAAAACAAATCAAAACAAAAAACCCCTCCTGCTCCCACAGTGGAAGAGACGAGCAGAAGAAACATGCCTAAACCAAAGTCACTGGATTTTAAAGCTGCTTCTTTTTGGACACAGAAGAAGGGTAGGAACATGGCTGGAAAGTGCAAAACTCCCTTGAACTGCTAGTCTTGTAGTAACTTTTCATTACGGAAGAACTGATGGTCTTAGAGCTGGTTTTCACATATGCTTGTGTACTTCGGTCTTTGAAGACGTTACAGTTCTTGCCTGCACTTCAGGTGCCTGTTAACTACACTGCAGTTTTGTCAGAGAGGATGGTGTTCAGGTTTTTGCTGAATGTGCCTTCTTCACTGCTCAATTACTTGGTTTGCTGTTCAAAATATAGTGAAATATTACTAAAATGCTGTATTGTTATAACTGAAATTCAAACAAGTGAAGCAAGGAACATCACAGTAGGGAGTTAAATAAACTTTATGAGAAGAGTCAGCTCTAAATGGTTTGCTTAATTGTGCAAATTAGCTTGGTATTAGCAAAGCTTGATATGGCTGAAAATATTCTCTGTCATAAAGGCCTCCACCAAAGGCAGAACTTTTAATGTAAACTGTGCCAATGAGACATGTAAAAGGTGCTTGTTTTGTACTTTGATATAGAAATAGATAAACTTATTTGTCAGATGACTTTGGATGTTGGACTTGCTGGTACCCAGTAGTTTGGATCACATAACATACAGGCTGCTAAGTAGCTCTTGATCTAAATCTAAAGAGTTAAGGCAGTTATCTGTCATGTTTTTCTTATTCTCTGTAGAACACTTTTTCTGTTCTCTTACCTAAAAATGGGATCTTTGACATTCTTAGTCCTTTGCACTTGTGCTGACCTGCTAGCTAAATAGTATACTAGCTTAACTACAGTTTTACATATTTCTAAGCTTGTAGGGCATGTTGGTTTTGCTTCACCTCAACAAGCATAAAGAGTTCAAGCTGACAGATATAATATCTGGAACAACTTCTGGATGCTGTTGATGTAACGTCTAAAATATATGTTCTATGTTTCATACATATTTCAGAGATCAATTTTCTTGTCTATTAGGAAATGCAATCTCTCCAAAACAACATAAGGCAATGTGATTTGCCTCCCTACCATAATTTTCTCAGCAATGTTGAGTGCCCTTTCTCTCTACAGTGTCATGTTTTAGAAATTTTTTGTCTTATTTGTCACCTCCTGCCCACCCTTCTTTGGGGTTTCATATTTAAGCAGGATTCCGCTGCTGTGATGTAGTTGTCTTCTGCTCTTCTACAAGTTTTCTTCATCTTGTCAATGGCATTTGAATGCTATGGTCCATGCCTGTGTTTTAGAGCAATTTTGTGACGATTAGCAAAGCTAGGCAATCCGTATAATATGGGAATTGTTCTGTGATGATGCTTGGGCGCTGAAAATGTTACGGTTTTGTCAGTTCATTGTTCATTGAGCTGTTACATTTTGCTTTTCAGCAGAACTAGCTGAAAATTAGTGTAGCTATGTTCTCGAAGTTAGCTTTGTTGGTACTTGCTTGTGGGTTGAGGCACCATACTCCACTGCATGTGCTGTTTTTCAAGTTTTTTTGGATTTTGGATTCTTCAGAGCCTGATTTAAGTACTTGTAATAGTTGTAATCATCTTGCTCTCTTTTTCAGGAACCTCTCTGTCCTTCACACACTCAGCTCTCCTGCGGAGAAGCTGTTCTCAGGTGCTCTTGTGTAACAGAATATCAATATTTAAAGAGTATCTGTTGTCTGTGCTGTGGAAGAAATCTGACCTGTTTCTGACATTGAATGATGACAGATCCACATAAAGGCACCCTTGAATACAGCAGCTTCATAAGATCAGGAGGAGTTCTCAGTTCCTACCTGTATAAATTATCTAAAGCATCATCATTTGTAAAGGACAAAATATGTTTATCAGGGACAATTCCTCAAGTTTCGTTCTACTTTTATTGGTCTAGATTGGGAAGATGGCAACTTTTGAAAGTTGTTGTTATCTTTAATTATTCAGTTTTATGCATCATTTGAAATTACCTTAGTTGAGATGAGTTATTTAAAATATGAAAGGAAAGAGAGAAAGCTTTGATGCTATGCAAGCACTGTCCAGCAATAGCCAAAATATTTTTGTGTTACCGACAGTGTTTTAGCCAACTAAATGGCTGCTACGAAGAAAATAAACTTAATTGCAGACAGACCCAGTACATCATCCTACCAGCAAGGTGGTGGGTTTGAACTTGTGAAGTAAAATTGCCCAAAGCTTGCTGTTGAAAGACCTTTACTTGATCAACTACTGTTGTTCACAACAGGATTATTGTAGCCGAACAACTAAGGGAGTTTTAAAGCTTTTGCATCTTTGTGCGCTTGACTGCATTGTTTGTGTAAGCTTTACTCTTTCATAGCTATGTGTGCATACAAAGAAATAAGCATGCACATGACCACATAGTTATTCTTGATTGTTTGTTCCACAGAGCAACATCAGAAAGAACTATTCTCTGTTTCTTTCTCCTGCTTGAAGAGCAGAAAGTGGGATTGTAAAATGATGGAAGTACTTGATACTTCTATTTAATTTAGTGATAATTACTAGATATTAAGTTGCCAGTTCATCAAAGTGCTCACTAGAGAACCCAGTTTCCTTGTTGTGAGATCTTTTAGTGTAAAAGAAATTGACAGTTAAATGGATATACTTAACAGGTAGGACATTCTTTGTTTGCTTTTAATGTCTTATCCTGTTATGTTCTTACAAGCCTTAGTCATGCTTTAAACTGGTCCTTATTTTTTGTCAGTCAGCAGAATTGTGGGATGCATTAGCGAGGCAAGCACTGGAATTTCGTAGCTTGATGTGTTCTCACTGCTCTAACTTGCAGATTTTCTTATGTGCATTATTATTTTGTATGAGTGCTGTGTTGTTGCTGCCCAGATATGTGAAATGGAAGTAGATGAAGTGTGAGAGGATGGAAAAGTGAAAGACACAATGGAACGGTCATGGAGCTGACTGAATATGACATACTCTGAATAAACAGGCTGCTGCTAGAGAAATTGTTTGCCTTGTTTATATATAGAGGCTAACTATGTATTTCTTCTTTTGTTTGTTTGGGTCTTTTTCTTGCTAGCAGTGGTCTCTCCTGGTCGTCTTGGGTTGTTCTGGCTTGCCCACATTGTTTCTGTAGCTTTCATGGCTCTGGATGGCTAGTGAAGAAGGATGTTCAGTCTAATGGCCAATTGCTGTGGCTGGTTAAAACGGTGGCAGGAGCCTGTCAGGTAAATGCGTGAAAGTATTTTATATTTCTGTGCTGACCTTCCCAAACTGTATTTCATGTCCTCTCACCCATGTTTTACTTTATTTGCTATATAACTTTGTTTCATGTTTTTTAATTCTGAGACAAAATCCATCTTTTTTTTTCCTCCAAGAGAGAATCAATGCATCTTCTGAACTTAAAAATGAGATGTTAATAATCTCTAATTCCTGGAATCAGAGACAAAATATCTGAAAGTATAAAGTTCAAAATACTGTCGTCTGCATACTGTTTCCTCAAGTTAAGCATTATGGGGTGATGTTAGGATGTTTATGTAAAGTTTATTTGATTGATTTAATTTCTGCATTTTGAGATTCAGAAGTGTTAAAGCACTTTGTTGTAAAGAGTAGAGTGTAGCCCCCATGTAATACTAATTTTTTTACTATTATCTAAGTATCTTAATATTGCATTTTGTGGGTAGCCTGGTGATCCATTCTTGCTATGGGATTCTGCTGTTCTCATTTGTTTCTGTTACTTTTGCTTTGAGTGCATCCTTTTCTCTCCAATTAGTAGTGATACACAGATAGCACATAGTTTGTTTCAAACTATTTACAGACGATGGCGAAGGGAAATAAGGGGTACACCACACTTATTTATGCTTGATACTCATATAGGAGGATTTGCTCTTTTTTTCAGTGCCACATAGTTTAGGTTTTACAGAATGTGCTGCTGGTCAAAGAGCAATGTTGGATTGAATAGCTTTCTGACACCACCCATGTATTGTAGACAATTGTGAGTTTAGAAGTGGTCATGGCTGTTCTGATATTAGCTTACCGTTAAAGTATAATTTACTGTGATCCTACTGTTCATTTTTAAGTTCTTTTCTCAAAGCTTTTTGGCTCTTCTGAAAGAACTTGAATAAATTCCATTGATGACTCTGAGTCTTTGTGAATAGGAGGAACAATTGAGGTATACATGTAGATATGTTTTTCCTATTGCTTTGCTTAAAATCCTGTCCTGGTATAAATTCTAACCTGCATTCCAGTTTGATAATATATTGTATGTACTCAACGTCACTGGTTTGCACATTTGCAGTCTAGATTGCTGCTGCTTGAAAGCAAGGCATGATGAGTTCAGTGCTGCTTATGTACAGCATCTGATGTCTAGACAAGTGTTGGATACTGTATAGTGTTGTTCAGCTGCACTGGCTGAGACAGAAATAAATTTCTAGTATAGGCATAACTTTGAGGCAGAGAGATGATAAAAACAGAGAAGAATGGAGGTGAAATTACAGAAATTTTTAAAGAGGCCATGACCACACCAAAAAAAGGATAAAATTTATAATACCATAAAATTAAATTTCACACCAGATCCACAATTGTTACAATGCCTGCTACGTGGTATTTTGATACCTACTCTTTCTACTGCTTTGTGGTAAATTTGGTATGCATGTATTAATTAATAAAATAAGTCGTGTCTAGCTAGAGGAAAAAATTTGAAATATCTTTTTTTTTTTTCTCTCCTTATGGAGGAAGGTGACACTAATAATTGTGGGTCTTGATAATGCTGGTAAAACTGCTACAGTCCGAGGAATTCAAGGAGGTAAGCATTCAATTTGTTTATCATTTAATTGGAGTATTGAAAGAGAGTGTAATTACTCATTTTCCTTCATTTTAATCTAAAAATATTGCTTCATCTCTTAATTTATCTCTCCCATATTGTTAAAAGAAAATTTTGTTTATTGTACTCTCCTCTAAGATTCTGGTAGCCAATATGATAATGTCACAGGTCCTATTGCATGAAAACCTGCAGATAAGAGAAAAATTAAGGGGTCGTACCTTAGAAACATAAAGATCCTGATTTTTGATATCTGGCAAGTCATGCTAGGGTGACATAAAAACTAGGTGCTCCCAGACATGGAGTTTGTGCTCAGGAGAAGTAGCGTGGCAAGCTCTGCATTTGTTCACTGGCCTCTGCACTGTGATGTTGAACTGATGTAGACCAAACCAGTGGTAGTTCAACAACATCTGTAGCAGCTGAAGAGCGAAGTTGCTACCACTCTGCTACGTGTTTTTCAAAGGTAATAGTATGGTGTAGAGGCAAGGTGGGTAGTATGGAGAGAGCTGCCTCTTAAGGCATTGCATCGTGCAGCATTAGAGCCCTTAGTCCACTGAAACAGAAAAAGTTAGTCCACAGAGGTGTTTGTCTTTTAAACACCAAGACCAAATGTTCAGAGTACCTTGGTGCTTCTGTGACTTGAGTTGACCACTGTATTGTTAACTGTGCAAAATACTAAATTGCAACAAAATCTGGTTTGGATTCTTGTTTAAATTTCATGAGCATCATAGCATATTTTTGGACTAGAATTTTTTTTCAGTAATTCAATAAATAGCTGAAGGAGCCAAGCAAGCTGCTTGTCTCCATCAGTTGCTTTAAGTGAAAGAAAGTGTAGGACAAAAACTCTGAAGAATATAGACCACATTTTAATATAATAACTACTTTGAATTAATGCAGTGATTCAAAATATTCTGGTTAATGCTGTGTTTCATGTCTTAGTATACATTAAAGAAATCAACAGGCCTGATTTTTTTTTTTTCCTTGTGTGCCTGTGCTGAAGTTGCTTTCAGGTGACCATCCAGTAATGTGCATACATCAGTAAACTTTATTAAAAAATCAGTGTTGTAAGTCTGTATAATGAGGAAGAGGTTCAAAAGAAGGAAATTGCATGTGTATGTGTATAACATAAAGGATGGTTATAGTGATACATATTTTATATAATTATTTATCACCAGCAATTTTCTAGGCACTTACTTCAGTAGCAGACCATTTGATTTTGGAGGGTATTTTGCACCATCCAATGGTGCATGCAAACAGTATATAATTTGAGATAAAACTTGTGCTTATGAAAACAAAAATTCTCTATGGTTTTTTTTTCCCCTTGTGGGATTGTCTTTCTAAATAACTTTAATCTTGCGTAATAACAAAAGAGTACTCGGTGTTTTGGCAGACTTGGAGACTCCACCTCAACTTTCTGTTTACACGTTATGTAAGTTCACAGACTTGCTAAAGTATGAATAAAGTTATGAGTATTCTCTCTTTCATATTCCTGAATCTTTGTCCTGAAAACATGAGTGCTTCATTATTTAGCTTTCCATTCTGTTTCAAAATCAACTTTAAGGCCTTTATCAGATAAATGTGGCAGTTATTTCTGAAAGTCCTTTTTTTTTTTTTTCTGGGAAAAAAAATAGGATAAAGTTGGGTATTTCTAAAGGGAAACTCCAGGAAAAGATAGTTCTGACTTCTGTGACTGCTTCCCTGGGCTGCGATAGTGCTTGCCTTATAAAGCAATTTCTTTTTCCTTAACAGGGCTTGCAGAGATTAGAACCTTCACTTAGTCTTAGAGGTTGATAAATCCAATATGTTTGGCTGTGCATCAGTTATACAGCCTATAGGAGGAGACTACAATTAAGATTGCAGGGTTTTGGCAGAAACCATATATGTTTCAGTTCTTAGGACTCTTAAACCTGGGAAAATCAGCATGGCCACCAAAGTTGTATTTGACAAAATGAATCTGCAGTTTACATGGCAGAGCCTGTTTTTACATTGGAGACTGTTTATTGTTTGAGACCTTGATGTACAATAGGAGCAGGTGTTTAAGCAATATCCCTTTACATTCAGCACCATCAATAACTTTTACCCGTAACCAACTGTCATGTTCCCATTGTTTTCTCTTGTAACAGCACATACTTACAGCTCACTGTCAAAATAAAGTCTGCTGAGTTTTGAAGCTGTAGTTTTTCACAAATGGGGATCCCAGACCTTTCTCATGCTGGAGTCTTGGCTTACACTGTTCTGGCCAAAGGGTCTGTTCTGAATCCCCATCTCAGCTGTGTGTGAAGGATTCTCTCAAAGAAGGAATGTGATAGCAGGAGTGTGGTGGTGATTTAGCTTTTGCGCTGCTCTTCAGAGCTCAGTGCTTTTGGCTGTGCCTTCATTTCTTCCTCTCAACAAGCTGAATTTTACATCTGTTTCTCCTGTCTTGTGCTACCAAGCTACATAAAACAGTTGCAGAGATCCAATTCATAGAATCATAGAATCATAGAATGGCCTGGGTTGAAAAGGACCATAGTGATCATCTAGTTTCAACCCCCCCGCCATATGCAGGCCCCCTGCAGAGACAGGTTAGTGGTGTGAAGCAAGTACAGGCTTTTTTGGCCTTCTGGAAAGGGAGAGAGCAAGCAAAAGTATTAACTATAAAGGGATAGAATTTTGGCATATTGCATGGCAAACTAAAACAAAAAACCAAACAAAAAAACAAACAAACAAAAAAACAGAAAATAAAAATAAGTAAACAAACAAAGGCCAAAACCTGATCTTGAGTAAAGAGAATCAAGTAGATTGCATCTCAGAAGAATGTGATTTCAGTCACTGCATCTCAGCCCTTGGGTTGAACTTTTGAAGCTGTTTTGGCAACCATGAGGGATAAAGAACAAGTTTGGCAGAGAACAAGGCTTCCTGGGTCATAATGCATTAACTGTTTTGTTTGTTTTCCTTCTCAAACTTGGATTAATACCATGCAAATGCTGTCTAACTGTTCAGCTGCAAGCATTGGTGGTGAGGGGGAAGATAAAAACTGCAGTACACTGAACACTACTGCAATTTAACTGTGGTGTTAAATATTAAAAAATTCATTTTTGGCGCTTTGTTTTTTTTTTTAATCCTGGTGCTCCTATCTAAATGAATGTAAAGTAACTGGCTGAGAGACTATTGTGTTAACTTGAAATTACCTGACAAGAGGGAAAATCTTAATGTAAAAAATACATAGTTAGCAGTTTGGTGTCACTTAACAGGGAGGGTTTGCTCCATGTTTTTAAAATATGAATTTTGCTACACAAATCACAATGTAAATCTTCCTTCCTTAAATAACTAAGGACACTTTTTACTGAGGGCTTTCTTCTTTGAACTCTGACAGAGTCTCCTGAAGACGTGGCTCCAACAGTTGGATTTTCCAAGATTCACCTTAAACAGGGACGCTTTGAAGTCACCATCTTTGATTTAGGAGGTGGAAAACGAATTCGAGATATCTGGAGAAATTACTATGCGGAGTCCTACGGTGTAATATTTGTTGTGGATTCCAGTGACATTGCAAGAATGGAAGAAACAAAACAAGCCATGATAGAAGTTTTAAATAGCCCTAAGATATCAGGAAAACCTGTGTTAGTGTAAGTACTGTTAATGTTCTCCTGATTATCTGAAATTTTGTAAATTTTATCTTCAATACACTTTCTAAACAAGTATTTATGTATAGTATAAACATAAGTATAAGCTACACTAATACTATGGTAACGTTAGCACTAACCAATATTACAATTAGTTTTACAGTATTTATGAAGTATTTATTTATGCCAATCTTACTATTACACTGGTGAACAAAGCCTCTTCTTCTTCCCTCCTTCCCACCCTCCTTCCCTCCTTCCCCTTCCTTTTCAATTGTACATAGTGATGTATTGAATCCATTCACTGCATCTGACGTTAGATCTTATTTAGTCCTTCTCAGGGATATTTATTTCTCACCTCTTTCATTAGCACTGGAAAAATAATAAGGCGGGGTTTTTTTAAACTCTTAAAATTCTAATATTGTTCTCAATGGTAGGGTAAAGGCCTTACAAGTTTAGCATGGCAACATGGTGTAAAAATACTGTTACTATTTAGTCCTATATCAATTACTTAAATTGTAAATGGTTGATTATATTCTGCAATATCAGTAATCTCTCAGCAATAAATGTCTTGTTCACTTAACACATGGTGGTGCTGCTGATACATGATCAGCAAAATCTCATTAAAGAAGGCTTACTTTAGCACGTGCTTTTGTTTCAGTGCATGTCTTTTGATTAAAAAAAAGTTAAAGTTTCAAAAGGTCTAGAGACATTCACAGAACTGAGATTAATTAACTTCTCTGCTTTAAAACTAGGTTTTGTAAAATATTGGAAATAATATATTTTGTTAAATTCAGACACACAAAACGTCCTTGAGGACAAATACCCTTTTGAAGTTACAAAACAAACTATGAAAGTTTAAAATTGTTTATTAGGACAGTATTTTTATTCCTGGTGGGCATAAGACCTCCATAATGCAGTAATTACACATAATTTCTGTTATATCATTAAGAATCTGTAAAGCTAAGAGGAGAGGCCTCTTACTTGTAAGAAGTAGTGATGCTCTGGTGGTTTGAGGGTGAAACTGACTCCTGGTTTGATGAAGTGGAGTGGTAGTTTAGCAAGCTAATAGTGTGTATGTTGAATAATATATTAGATTTTAACTTCCACAGCTATTTGAATGTTATTATTACAGGGAAGGCAATAAAACCAACATAAGACAGCTAGTTTAATTCAAGTCTCTTCTGAAAATGCAACTGTGACAGTTGACAACTATTCAGTGTTTCTAAATAAATACAGCTTTAGGGTTTGGTGGTTTGGTTTTTGGTTGGTGTTTTGGTTTTTCTTTTTTTGGTAGAAATCTCTATGCCCTGATCCCGTGTTAGAGTTTATTTGGGTGGCTGGCTGTACCCGCAGACAGCCCACTCACTTCACTAGGACTTGATCCTGCTTTTTGATCCATGTCAGTAGCTAATCAGAAGGCAGAGTGTATTATCTGAATCTAATGGTGACTAAGCTAAGTTTGTTGATGTTATTGCCTTCTAACTGATTGAGTCTCAAGCCTTTGAATAGAATTTGCTCTTGCAATGTCCCAGTTCTGTGGAAGGATCCAGTAGTTCTTTGTTTCACGCTCCCTATACGAGCCTGCATGTTGAGTTATGAGTTCTTTCATGTATTGTCTTTGCTTTCTGTTTGGTGTCTGTGTTCTTGTCATAGCTATGCTACTCTTGGCATGTTCAAATCATGTGAACACTAAAATTTGTTCCAGTATTTGAAGCACTTCTTATATTGTGAAGCCTTCAAGTTGTGAATCAGGAAGGCTTGGTCCATAAGCGCTAGTGCTTGTGGTATGGAAATGGAGTGCTTAGCAAGTGAGATTAAACTGGTTCCATGCACCTTGCCTTCCCTGAAGATGCCTTTGGTTGGAGATCCAAGTCCTCATCACTCATACTTGCCAGATAAGAGTTCTGTGGTATAAACTTTTCCCTGGAAGTCCCTAAAACTGAAAAATGAAGTATCAAGAGCAGAATAAAGGAAACAGCAGATATCCAAAATTGTGATGAAAGTTAGCTTTTTTTAATACTTCCTTCTTTTAAGGATGTTCAACTTTTGTTTTGTTTTTTAATAATGAGATACTTGGTATCCACATAGCAATAAGTTCCCTAATGTCTTGTGAAGTTTCTAAGTAGTGCATTTTAGTCTGTGCATATATGTGTGAAGGCCAGTATTTACTGAAAACAATACAGTTACCTCTGAGTATCAAATCCAGGAAGGCTGAAGTTTACTTTAAATAATTCCCCTCTCTCCCATGCTCTTGCAATGCAGAGCACAGTCTATTTCTCTTTTCATAGGATACTGTTTTAATTTTATGCCAAAGGAGAGGGAATTCTTCCCTTTGATTTCCACACTCCACAAGTGTGTCTCTGGTCTGGACTCCTGCTTTCCTCCAGAACTTGAAATAAACAAGGAGAAGCAGAAAAACAGGTGTAGTTTGTTTATTCTCTGCTGTCTGTAAGTGCAGAGATTTATCAGCACTTATTCATTAATGTTTTATTAATTACTAATTATAATCTTGAAAACTAATAAAAACCTAAAGTCTAAAGGCATGAAAATGAGTGAGCTATAACTTCAAAGTGTTTGTGTGCTGAAGTATGATGAAAGAGGTATTGGTGACTTGAACAGAATGAAACAATTAAAATGTTTATACTGGATATTCAGGTTTCTTAAGCATAGATTGAACCAATGTACCAAAATTTCAACAGTCAGCACTGAATTTTAGACTAACGTTATTTACCCTAACTTGTGCTATATGCAGTGTCTTGTACAATGAAGTGTATATAAGGATACTGCAAGATAGGATGCAAGTCCATTCTGGATTTTGAAGGCAGCAGCAGAAGTTGCTGTCTGTGCACTGTCAGGTGTATCACTGTGTGTGCCTAGCATCTGCTTGTCTTTGAAATATCCTGCTGGTTATACTTTTTTTTTCATTTTTCTTTTCTTTTTTTTTTTTTTTTTTTTTTTTTTTTTTTTTTTTTTTTTTTTTTTTTTTTTTTGTGTGTGTGTGTGTACTTCTGGTAGATAGTAATCAAAAAAGACAGAATTAACCTTTGGTTTTTGCGTTTTGTGGGCTTTCATCTGTCTGGACAAAACTAATTTTACCAGTCAGATCAGGGAAAAAATAAAATTTTTATGACTGGTAGCTAAGATGGACCTTTGAAATAAACCATTGCTCATCAGACAATTAAATTTGTGTCTTTGTAAAGGAACATTCCATTTATCAGGTTATCAATATCAAACTGGTGGCTGTGCTCTGCAATATTTTTGGTGCTGGAGTGGTAGCAATGGTAAGGAGGCAGGAATTTGCCTCTGGACAAGAATTCTGATCTGTCAGAGTTATCTTCCTACTACCTTTATAGCATGGACTACTTCAGCATATATAAAAGAAAACAGAAATCGAAAGAAATCAGAAATTCCTTGAAACAGAAATTGCATTCCCTGTTAGGTAAATTAATGCTTACTAGAACTTTCATCTTGTTTTACTTGTAGAGTTTCTGGTGTTCAGAACGTTAGGATTTGTATTAAGAAGAGTGCTGTTGTTGAATGCTTTTAGAGAGTTGGTTGTTGAATAATAATTCCAAGAGGAAATAAAATACAATTTGTAAAGCTCTGTATTAATGAATAAACACATTCCCTAACATACTCACCTTTTCTCACATCCTCTGACCTGTCTCACTAGTTCCTGAAGTTCTACCCTCTTTATCCTTCTCTTCCCTTCATTCAGCATTTCCTCTCTTGCTGGCTAAGCACATTCTGTGTCTGGTTGTGGTGCAACAAGCAAAGTACTCGGCTGTCTGTTGCTTATGAGAATAGGTGAAATGAATGAATTAAAACTAGTTTTGGTGTCTCTCTTCTACCTGTATTAATTTGATATTGGTCTACAACAAGGATATTGTAGGAGCTAACTGTCCTTGTAAAAATGGTCTAAAAAAGTAGTGGGGAAAAAAGCTTTTTCTACTCAGGTAAGCAAATTTTTATATGATATAATAGGTAAAATACATGCTGAATCATGAAGTTCCTTTATCTAAATATATCTCCTTTTTATCTTTAAAGATTTTTAAAAGAATATAACATATAATTTAGATAACTGTTTCTTCCTGTAAAAATGATGCTTATAGCTATGGGGTCTGGTTCATTATAGTAAAAACATCTCTGATAGTAGCATTTAAATAAAAGTATTCTCCAGTTGTTTGCTGTTATGTGATGGCAGGTTTGTCCACTGTTCTATATATTCATTCAGTGCTCTGCAGATTCATTCAGTTTCAAGATTTTCTCATTTGCTGGACTTGGAGGTGTTAAAAAAAACATAACACCACACCAGACAAACACCCCACCCAAAAAAACCCCAAACAAACAAAATAAAACAAACCAAAACAAACAACAATAACAAAAAAAAATACCAACCCACCAAACAAAAAACTACACACACAAAAAAAACAAGAATAGGAACAAACTTCAACAGTGATACACTCAATTGTCACTGGGAAAGGTTTGGGAGACTTTGACATATAATCCTTAATGAAAGTAGACAAATTAAACAATTTTTTTCCCATTTTGAACAGTGCAGTAGCTGTTTGTCTACACTGAGACACTTAGTCATTCACTCCCTCCCACTCTCCCCCCTGTTCTTTGGGGCTGTCACTGCAATGAGCCATACTGTGCATGTCGTAGCTGATTCACTTATTTCTTCTTGGAGAGAAACAGTTGCATGTCTTCCCTCTTCCTGAGAGGACATGTCTGTGTAACACTGTAGTTTGGTCAGATAGTAACGGTGTAGACCATACCAACTTTGGCTTCTCCTAATCAGGACGGGTCTCCAACATCAGCAGGTCTTGCACACTACGTGCCCTCAAGCTATGTCCCAAAAACTTTAAGTGTGTGATATCAGCATGAGCAATTCTTTTATGAGATACATTGCACTGATCGTTATTTTGGATGGCCAGAGGGATGTCACATGCAGCCCTCAAGAGACTGGGCTCAAGTGCTGTAGTGTGGATGTGACAAGTCCT